GGGTCCCTCAGCCTCCACCGCGCCTACCTGAGGAGCCCGCTGGGCCTGCTGCGCCTGGGGCAGCTGGCGCTGGGCGCTGCCTTCTGGGTGACGGTGGCGGCTCACAAGTACGAGGGGGCGGCCCACTTTGCCCTCTTTGCCGCCGTCCTGGTCTGGCTCCTCACCCTGGCCCTCTTCGGGCTGAGCCTGCTGGGGCGCTGGGCGCTGGTGCCCTGGCTGGGCTCCCGCTGGCTCCTCACCAACCTGGTGCATGACCTGGCGCTGGGTGTGGGGCTCTACGCGGCCGCCACCGGCATCATGGGCTACAAGGCTGGGCGGAAAAGCTATTGCAACCTGCCGGGCTACAGCCAGCACTGCCTCTATGGCGCCTACCTGAGCGCTTCCATCTGCGGAGGCATTGCTGCCTGCCTGTACCTCTTCTCTGGGCTCTACTGCTTGTCACGGCGCTGCCGGGACCAGCGCGACATCATCTGAGACCCTGCGGCACTTGGCTCCCCTTCTCCTCGCCCGCAGATGGACCACAGCCCCGCTTCGGGCCGAAGTGACCCTGCCACCCCATCCCCTCCCGGCTGACTGCACCATGCTTCCTCCAGAGACTTCTGCGCAGACGGATGGACAGACGGGGGCCTTCCCCAAGCACGGCTTCCCTTGCATCCCGCCGAGACAGCGTGGACATCCAGCCACTGCACAGGCCCCTCTCCTACTCCCGGACAGATGTAGGCTATTGCAAGTGGAAGGACCCAAGCAGAGAGCCCCTAAGAGGGACCCCAATGTCTGGGAGCCCCCCAGGGCAACTGCCCAACTCCCCTGCCCCCGGCCTTGCAGATGCTGCGTGCTCAGGTGGGTGCCAACCTGTCTCGGGTGGAGGGGGACTGGCCTGAGGGAGCTGAGCAGGGAGCAGTGGCACATAGTGGGGTGGGGTGGGCATAAAGCCCCCCCAGCCCGCTGGCAGCCCCCTTCTGCCGTTCCCAACTGTGTGGCACCTCCGCAATTCCCTAACGGAGGCTCTGATCTCGGCTTCCCCAGGCCGGGCCCCTCCTCTGTCTGGCCTGAATGCATCCGACGTCCTGCCGGAGCCCTGCGGGGCTCAGCCCCTCCCTGCTCTGTGCTCTGGCGGGTGGAGACACCCAGGTCCTGCACAGCCTGACCCGGCCTCACGCAGGGCCCCCGGACATGCTGTCCTGTTTGGGGCTGAGCCTGTGCAGTGCAGCAAAGCCTCATCGCTGCAGGGCGAGGGAAAGGGTGAGCGGAGCCATAGACTGGTCCTGTGACCCTGGGCAGGGGATAAATTCCTCCAGCCTTGGAGTTCGTACTGCCCCAGGATGGGACCTGAGGTTGAAGGGAGTGGGGCACGGGGTGGTTGTCTCCCCCTGCTCTCTGGCAGCGAGATTCGAGGCTCTGAGCCACCCAGAGCAACAGACCCTGCCCCAGGGCCTGACTGCTCTGACGAGGACAGGCACAGCCTCACCAGCGGCATTGAAGACTGGCCCGCAGTCCTGCCTAGCTCTGCGGTCCCTGGTTTATCGTCCCAGAAAACTCACCTTGGGACTCTCTGGCTCCATCTCGGGGCTCTGCGCTGCCCGGAGACCATGGCGAAGCAGAGGGGAAGGGTGAGTGTGGCAGCAGGGCGGTGCTGGGCTGCTGCTGGTGCTGTGGCTGTGGAGGAGCTGGGGCCAGGTGTTGCGGGGACACAGCCTGTCTTGGGGGACAGGAGAAGAGGATGCTGTCAGTGGCACCAGCCCAGCCCTGGATTGGCCTCCACAGCCCGCCGGGTGCCAAGCCCTGAGGAGGCCGTGTAGAACCAACTGGAGCAACAAGCAGCCAGGGACTGGGAATTTTTGGAGGAGCACCGCACCAGAGCTGCCCTGCCACAAGCCCTGCTCACCCTGACTGGAGGAAGGTTCTCCCTGTCGCTCCCTGTGTGAGGGAGGGTCTGCTTCAGTCTCTGTGTGGGCTCGGCTCGGTGGGATGGGTGTCCCCAGCAGCTGGCCATGGGCTCTGGCTGTTGCCTGGTGTTCCCTGGTGCCTTTTTTGGGGTGGAGAGCAGCAGCTGTGATCCCCCTGGGGCTTGGAGGGGTCCGGGGTTGGTGCTGGGTCACTGCTTCCATCATGAGTTGCTGTCCCAGCCAATCCCCACTGGTGCTCAGGGGCCCTGCCAGTCCCTGGGTCATCTACCCCTTCCCTGGGCAGGATGTGCTGTCCCTGCCCTGTGTCAGGGCTGGTCCCCGACACTACCTGCCCCCACCTGCTCTGGTGCAGCCCCTGGCCCAGGCTGCCCAAGACGCCCAGTGGGGCTTCTGCCACCACAAGTGCCTTTCCCCGGCTTTCTGCAGCCCTGCCTGTCATGCCGGCTCTGTCACCCTCCAGCCCCCTCTCTGGTGCCTATGGATTCACATTCCAAATAAAGCAACATTGGCGCTCACTGGGTGTCTGGGGCTTTGTGCCAGGGCTGGGACCTGCTGGGGATGGAGTCTGAGCTGAGATCACACCTGGCTCTGTAGCCCTGCACCCTGGGGCCTCCCCGCCTGGAGCCTCTGGCTGTGGTCACAATGTTCTGGTCAACTCTGGGATCACAGCTGGGCTCTCCGGTGCTGAGCCACCACTCCTGATAGAATTAAACCTGCCTGTGAGGACGGGGGCTGTCCCCAGTCCTGCTGCCTCCTCCAGAGACAAACCAAGTCCCAGGGCTGTGTTGCCACAGGGACTCGCTGGGGACAGGATGGAGCTGCATTCCTATGGGATTCGTCACTCTGGGCTGAAAGGGCTCTCTGTCGTGAGGCCAGGACACTGCCGAGCAGCTGTGCCCACGCTGCTGGGCCCCCAGAGAGCCGGGGCAGGCTGGGGGCAGCCTGAATCTCCCAGGGCTGACTCCCAGTCTGGGCTGCACTCTCAGGATGGGGATCAGCCTTGAACCACTACCTGCAGTTGGGGTGTGACTGGGCCCCCCTGCCCTCTGCCTGCAGGATACATGGCCTGATCACCAGACTCTGTGGGCAGCCGGCAGCAGTGCTGAGCCCTGTGCTGCCTGAGAGCTGGCATAGGGTTAACATCATTGCATGGAGTATTATGGGACAGTATCCCCCTTCTGGCATCGGAGGCAGCCCAGGGTCCCCAGAGCATTCCGTGGAGCCAGCAGCCCTTATCTTCTGCAAGCACCTACTGCAAGCAACCAAGGAGGGCTGTAGTGCCTGGGAAGGTGGGAGCAGGACCACAGGCTGCTGTGCAGGGCTGCTCTGGGGATATGGAGGGGCAGCAGAGGAGCTGCTGGTCATGCTCATGGGCCTGGAGGGAGCCCCTGCTCTCTCCCAGAGAGATCTCTCCCCGTGGAGAGGTGCCCCAGCCATGGAGCCTATGGGGACAAACCCACAGTACCCCAATATGGCTGGGAGCAGGCCATGCTGAGACCCAGACTGGGCCTGAGCCCGAGATCAGGGTCAGGCCGGGATCAGTGCCTGGCCCTGGACTGGGACCGGATCCAGACCCTGATCGGGGCCAGGACGGAGCCCAGATTAGCCCCAAGTCACGGGCTGAGCCCCCTCTCTAGACCGGACCTACGGGCCCGAGCCTCACGCCCAGACCGGTTGCAGGACCCAGAGCACACGCACGGGACCGAGCCCCGGCCCCGCAGCCCATGATCCCTCGCGGGCCGGGCCGGGGCCGAAGGGCCGGTACTTCCGGGTCCGAGGCCTCTTCCGCCCCTTTGCCCGCGTGGAGGCGGGACTTCTGCCTGCGCTTTCTAGACTGGCTCTTCTGATTGGCTGCGTTCCAGCGCCGCGGGTGAGGTCACGGCGCACCTGGCCACCTCACGGAAGTGGAGTATGGAGTAGGGCTGGGCTTAACGTTGGTGGGCTCGACTCGCTCCGCTCCTGCTTCCCTTTCCCCTCCCTCCGGCTCAGCCCGTTTTGTCCTGTCCGGTCATGCAGGCGGTGGAGCGGGACGGGGCGGCAGGTGGCCCCGAAGGAGTGGCGGGGGGCGGTGAGGCACCGCCGGAGCCGTCGCCGCCCAAGGCCGCCGCTGCTTTCGACCTGCTGGAGCTGGTGCGGAGCTACCGGCGGCTGCAGCTCTACCTGGAGCCGCTGCGGGACGCCGCCGAGGGCGTCCGCTCCCTCCTCCGGTAGGTGCGGGCTGGGCCGCCATCGAGACCGTCCTTAGGGCCTCACGTCCCTCACTCTCCCTCCTCCCCGCAGGTGGCAGCGGCCCGTGTGCTCCCTCTTTGTCTGCCTCGGCCTCAACTTCCTTCTGCTCACCGTCGGCCAAGGTGCGTCTGGGGGCGACAGGGCCGGTCCGCTCCCCGGACTCCCCGGGCTGACGTTGTCCCTCCTCTTCCAGCCGCCTGGTACTCGGTGCTCGCCCTCTTGGTCGTGGTGCCGGCCCTGCTGGGCTACCTGCAGGAAACGTGCCGGGCCCGGCCCTCGGAGTCAGAGCTGGTGCGCAGGCGGTACCACAGCGTCCACCGGGAGGACCTGCGCAGGGTGCAGCTCTCACGGCAAGAGGCCATCGCCCAGGTCAAGAGCTTGTGAGTCTCTGGAGCCCTCCTGGCTGCGAGGTTCCTGGGGTCTCTGCAGCCAGGGACGCTTCTCTATGACTGTAGAGGGCCTGGGTTCATGCCAGCCTGGTCACTGTAAAGCATATGAGTATGGGGCAGGCAGGGTGTGTGTTTCTGGGGGCCTTTTTGTGACTGTGCGGTCTCATTCGCAGCCTGATCCAGCTGGAGGGGTTCCTGAGCGGAATGTGCTGCAGCTGCAAGGCAGTATATCGTGTACTGTACTGGGAGAACCCCACTGTCTCTTCTCAGTGAGTAGTACTGGGTCAGGTATCCTGTGGTGGGCTCAGCCAGGCCTGTGGAGCTGTGTTTGTGTTTGGTACTTGGCGAGAGCAGGTGGAGGACCAGATGAAGAAGGGGGCTCGTGCTGTGGTGTGAGTTGCTCTGTTTTGGCTGCAGTGTCTTGCTGCTCCTTCCCAGGTTTTATGGGGCGCTGCTGGGCTCTGTCTGCATCCTTTACCTGTTGCCCCTCTGCTGGGTCTTGGCAATCCTCAACAGCACCCTCTTCCTGGGCAACACCCAGTTCTACCAAGGTAAGACACCTCCATGGAAGTAGCCTGTGTGGGATGGGTTGGGGAAAGGCTCTCTGAAGCTATGGATCCTGTGCTGGAGCTCTCCCAGAACCCTCATGTGAGCCCAGTGTCTTGTGTCAGGCTCTGCCATGGGACCCAAATCCCCCTCAAAGGACAACGGTGTCCTAGTGGTGCTCAGCAGCCCAGGTTGGGTGATGGGGTCCTGGGGCTTAGCTGTGAGAGGCAAGAGTCTCTCCTGATGTGTGTTCTGGCCTGGGTGCTGTTTCCTGCTCTCCTCTGTGCTGTGGCGAACTGGGGCCTGGCAATGCAGCCTGTGCACGAGCATCACCACCTCTCTTGGTCCCGACCCTGCTCTGTAGGACGTGAAATACTTTTGGTGCCTGTGGCAGTGGATGATACAGGCTTGTAAAATGTGCTGTCATTGGGGAGGAGAGCTGGAGGTGCTCCCTGTTATGTGTCACATGCTGCAGGAGAGTTGGATGAGATCTCTGTGGCTGAGCTGTGACCAAAGCTCCTGTTGTTCCCTCCCCTGAGCTGGGGCAGGTGGTGGGGTTGTTACTTGCTGCTCTAACTTTGATGTGTGAGCAGAGGGGGGCTCAGGATACCTGATGGGTGAAGATTGTATGTGCCAGTGTCCCATTGTGAGCCCTGGAGATTGTCTTCTGCAGCTAGCTTTTGTGTGGTAGGGCTGGAAGAAGGGAACTGTTGCCCTGCTCCAGCCATGTTCCCTTCTTACCAGTGATAATGGAGCTCAAGACCTCGTTTGAGCAGCGTGTGGGCACCAAACCTCTCGAGAGCACTCCAGAGCCTGCCGAACCCCTGCCAGCTGCGGCCCCACTGGATCGGACACCCACACCCACCAGCACAGAGGTGAGATAGGGGCAGGGCTGGCAGTTGTAGGGTGGAAGTTGCAGGGTCAGCTTTTTAGTCTGTGTCCCTCTGCCCACAACCTCCTTCCAGCTGCCAGCTTTGCTGGAAGCTTGTGAGACCCTCCTGAGTTACTGGGTGGCTGCCCTGCTGTGCTGAGGACTTGGCTCAGTCCTGTTTCTGCACATAAGGATGCAGTCTGGGGAGGCAGGGGCCCATCTCACCTCTGGGACTGATGTCTTCTCTTGGGGCTGCTTGGGGCCTGCTTGTTTGTCCTGGAACGTGCTGCAGAAGTGTGGGTCCACCTTTGGACAGGGGTTGGGGTGCAGCAGGACCAGCTTTGTGAATCTCTTGCAGGACCTTACCCCTGGCAGTGTGGAGGAGGCGGAGGAGGCAGAGCCAGATGAAGAGTTCAAAGATGCTATCGAGGTTTGAGGCTGGTGGCGGTGGGCTGTGCCTGCAGGGCAGCTGAGGAGGGAAGCGGGAGGGCCTTGGTGGGCAAACTGTGTGCTCACGGAGGGTGCTGGGTGCCTCTGACTCCATCTGTACTGCCTCTCCTCTCTGTCCCATGCTGCGGGAGAAGGAGAACCAGCTGCTAGTCATGGTGAGTACTGCCATGCCAAGGTGTGCAGGAGGGGCATCTACTCCCGGCTGGAGCTGACAGCCTTTGCCTGGTTTGCTGGTGGCGATGCCAAGTGGAGATTCTTGCTTGGGTGCCCACCTCGGGTGGGCAGCCTTGCAGCTGGCAAGCGTGCCCCCAGCCATGCCTCTGTGCTCAGCTGACTCTGCTCTCTGCAGGAGGATGATGAGAGCTCTCAGTGCTCAGCAGATTTTGACCTCAGCCTCCCGGACAACGGTTTTATGAGCAAAAATGAGGTGATCCGCAGCAAGGTGTCACGCCTGACTGAGCGCCTCCGCAAGCGCTACCCCAGCAACAACTTCGGTAAGACTGGGAGCAGGTGCTGCTTGGGGGAGCTCAGCAGGGCAGGGTCTGTGCTGCTCCCAGTGGTGACAGTGATGTGGGAGTGGACAGAGTGGTGCGGTAGCTGCTAGGACTGTGCTGACACCTCTGACCTCCCCTCTCCAAGGGAAGGACATTCTCAGCCCTCCTAGGAAGGGCGAGGGTGTGAAGGTGCAGCAATGTTGTCTCCACGCTGAGCCTCTGCAGTGGCTGTGGGTGTTCCTGTATCTCCCACAGTCCCAGACAGCAGAGCCCTGCCTGACCTCTGCTCTCTTTCTTCCAGGGAGCTGCACAGGCTGTGCAGCCACCTTCTCTGTGCTCAAGAAGAGGGTAAGTCTTTGGCTTGTACTCCAGCTTGCTGCCTGCACCTGGGCAGAGGTGTTGTGTGTGTCTGGCTTTCTCCAGCAGCTCAGGTGGCTGGTCTCAGTCACGGCCAGCAGCAGGTGACCTCAGCTGAGTGCTGGGTGTTGCCACATGCCTAATGGTGACAGGAATCCCTTATGCTGTGGAGCCTTTACCTATTTGCTCATTTGGAAGCTGCCTCAGGCCAAACCAGCATGTGCTGGTGTAGAAGGCACCTGCTCAGTGCTCTAGTTGAGTTCATTTCCTGTGACCCGAGAGCTTTCTGGTGAAGCAGAGCATGGGTCTGTTTATGGAGCTAGAGGAGCAAAGGTCACCCCTCTTGTCTTATCTGAGCTCCTGTCCGTGATGCTTGGCACACAGTCCCCTGGGCAGTTCTAGGAAGGATGTATCTCTTGTGCCCCCCAGACTGACATTGCTGTCTTCCTGCTGCCTTCTGTTCCCCAGACTTGTGGCCCCCTCCTCTTACTACTGGGTTAGTCTGATACATGTCTGGGACTCTCTGGAGCTTGTGTCCCCCCAGGATTACAGCATAGATGATATAGTGTACTTAAACCTCTTGGAGCCTGTGGTCTCAGTGCTTTTTCAGACTGGGCACAGACTATCTGGGATGTTAGAGCATACCTGAATGCAGATCAGTGTTAGGCCTGGATGGTTTGTCCAGGTTTTGGCAGATGACCCCTCTGCTGAGCTCGGGGCTTGCACCCATTCCCCTTTGGCAGGGAATGCTGTTAGCAGTGCTCTGGCACCCAAGTTTGGGTAGGGCTGGGAGAGGGCCTGGATTAGCATCTCACCTCTATCTCTCCACAGCGGAGCTGCAGTAACTGTGGGAACAGCTTCTGCTCCAGGTGTTGTTCCTTCAAAGTCCCAAAAGCTGTGATGGGAGCCACAGGTGAGTGGAAAGGTGGAGGAAGGAGAGCTCCTGCTTCTACCTGTGCTGTCTCCTGCAGGGATTTGCTCCAGCCCTGGTGGGGAGGGTAGACAGGACCTGCCCAGTGCAGCTTGGCTTGGGACAGAGCGGTGATGGGTTTGCAGCTCTGTGGCTGGGGTCCATACCCTGTGGTGGGGAAGGGGGAGCATCTCTGACACCTGCTCTCTTTTCCAGCCCCAGAGGCTCAGAGGGAGACAGTATTTGTGTGTGGTCTGTGCAACCAGGTGCTCATCAAGTGACTGAAACAGACCCAGCCAGCCCCTGGGTCCTGCGCTGCCTGACACCCGGGGCAGCAGGCACCCTTGCAGCTGGGAGCCTGGGCCGCTTGGTTCCCAGCGTGGTGTCACCCTGCCAGAGGACACTTGTGCTCCGTGTTCCTTCCGCCAGCACTAGGCTTGGGGCAGACTAGCTCTCCTTTCCACGCAGCATCTGCCACACCAGCTGTGTCCCTGTGGCGGAGCAGTGCCCACAGCTGTGTCCCCATCCCTGCAGCTGCCACTGGCAGCTGCTCCAAGTCCTGGGTGCTCCCTGGCACTCACTGTGCCGTGCAGAACCTGTGTCCTGGCTCAGTGATGGAGAAGCCATCCTTCCCACTTATGGCCCTGCCTCCTGGGTGGGGCAGAACAACCTCAGGGCTCTGTCTCTACCTTTTCCTGCACTGTGCTAGATGACTTTCGGTATCTTTGGCATCAAGGCAGAGCTCTACCTGCATCCCCAGGAGATGTGGTCTCTGGTCCTGACTCAGCTGAGATCCTGCTAGTCGCTACTGCACTCCTTGGCCTCAAGGACTGCAGGTTCAGTTGTGTGTCTGTTCCCTGCTCCCACCCTGCCAGGTGTCCTGGCAGCCTTGTCCCTGAGCTGAGACTGTGCCTTTTCTCTGGGAGGGTTCCCTGCTGCACCCCCATTGCATACTTAACACTTTCCTACCCAGGATGTCCTAGGGGAGGTAGATCTGGGCTGTACCCTGGGGAATGGGACAGCCCTAGAGCAGCTGGAGCTGGCACCATTCCTTGTGTCCTGTCTGCGCAGGCTGCTTCAGTGTCCACATCCCCATCCTGCACCTGCGCAGCCGGCTGGGGGACTGACACTTGTGCCTGTCACTCTGGGGAGCTGTCTGTGTCACCGCCTCTGTCACCTTTCCCTACAGTGAGATCGGAAGCGGGGCCATGGGCTCTGCCCCTTCCACAGTGGAGACTTCAGGGACGACCAGCCAGGGTGGCATGGTAAGAAGACATCCCCTGGGGGTGGCCCCTCACCACTCTGGGCCCTCTCCATGGATCTGTGCCTGATTGTAGCACAGAGCAACTCTGAGCCAGGGGAGCAGGATGCTCTTGGGAAATGGCTGAGAGGGGTCCTGTCTGCCTCTTTCCATCCTCCAACATCCTGTCCCTGCTCCCTCTCCCACTGCAGCTTTGGGTGCTGCTGACCTTGTTTCTGTGGGCAGAGATGCATCCTATGGGCCTGGGTGGGCTGAGTGGGTTCCCTCCCACCCTCCTGTCCTCCCCATCCTCTCATCCTCCCTGTCCTGGCTGCATCCCAGGCTCCTGGGACTTCTGGCTCCCAGGCTGCATTAGTGTTGGGCATGGGTTGTGCCCACCATGGAGCAGGGACCCTCAGGAGGTGACAGCATGCTGGGGCTGGCCATGCAGGGACACGTGTCCCGGGGTGTCTGGCAGATCATGGGAGAGAGCATCCTGGCATGGGGCACAATGTGGGGCTGGCAGCACGGCTTTGTGGGGGTGGCCTTGCCTGGAGGTGGCCAAGGGAGGTTGGGGCATGGCTGGGGGCTCTGTGGGGCTCAGCTGGCCCAGGGACGTGGGACCGTTGGGGAGGGCAGTGGGCAGGGGCAGCGGTGGCCATGCACTTGCCCTGCGCCCACACAC